AGTGATCAATTCTTTAGATTACTGCAGATTAATACGAACACACAGGCACTGACAAAGCATTATGGAGATGAGGGGAAAGATAGGGGAAATTACTATATGTCATTCAGTTTGTATCAGCTGGTGAGGGAAAGCAAAACTAGACATTTAGGATTTGTCTTTTCAAATATGTCTATAACAGCTTTATCAAAATGAATTTCATATAATGCACCATTTATCTAATCTAGAAACTATAAAGAAAATCCATATAATTGAAGCTCAGCTTCTTCAAGAAAATAGAGATAGCACACTTAGTTCCTTAGCAACATAATGAAATGTAATTTCAAGCGCTCTGCATATGTGTTTGAACAATCAACTTGCCCTCTATCATCCGCAACAGTCAGTTGCATTGTAGCATTTTGATTCTGCTTATTATATGCATGATAATGGAAATAATATAATTAAAGCTCTAAAGTCCATTATAGAATGTTGCAAATGATCCCCATATAAGTGTATGTGCCCACACCCACACGGTTGAATACTCTCTACTACAACCAAGGACTCTCTACTACAACCAAGGTGGTGCTCACTTCTCCAGCAACTACCAATATCAAATTTTCTCGCAAATAAATACAGTTGAAGGGGACAGCAGAAGGGAGATTAACTGAGAATGAAAGGGAAGAAAAAAGAAGGCCTATAAATCCGTGGATGGCAGACAGATAGAAAATATCACCCTCCTGCTGACAAGTGTTCATCACTCCCTGGCTGCAATGTAAGCAATTCAGTGGTTCTTCCTTTAAGTTATGATACTGTTGTTTCAAAAGGCTCTAAAGCACCAAAATAGAATAGCTGAATGAAACAAATTAAACTTTTAAATAAAAAGAGCAACAAAAGTTCAGGGCTTGGAAGAGTCTTTAGTGTTTTTAAAAGGGATTAATGGGCAAGGGGGAAGAAAATATATAGTCTGTTTGACACCATGCTGCTGTGACTTTGGCTTAATTATTACTTTGGTGTATGAAGGAATAGCTGTTGAAAGTTTTTAACAAATTTCACATGGTGAAAGCAAAAGTCTGTTCCTACCCTAAGCATAGCTTCCGTTGTGCTCCAAAATCTAAGTCAAGGATCCAGTGCACAAGCATAATTCCTCTAGGTACGAACAGGTAACACGCCCCTTCTCCTTTGTCTGTTTTGAAGCATATGTATTTAGCTTCGTTTGGCACTTGAGCCACAGAAAGCATCCATTTCTCATCCAGCCATCTAGTAATTTCCTTTCCCCTCTCCTCTGCTCTAGCACTCTTTCCCCTCTTCTGCTCTAGGCAAAAATGGAGAAGGAAACTTGCTCTACTCCAGCTGCCAGTCAAGTTGCTCGTGGGGACTGAAAGCAGGGTAATGGACAGAGCAAATGGGTCCCCAAAATCGCTTTTGCTTGCTCACTGGCTGATACTGAAGGGGGGGGGAGTAATAATCAGTATTGCTGTTATTGATCAACAGAAAAACGGAGAGTTCAGGCCTCTCCCTATCCTCATTTCTCAAATGGATGAGCAAGGAAAAAGTATACCTTCTGTGGAGGTATAAACATTTCCTTTAAATACAGAATGGGTATTATGTGACACCTGTAACACTGCTGCTTCCATAGATCAAAGTGGTTGAGTGGACATATATGGGGGAAGGTGATCTCACAGGTAACTCGTCCCAAGTTGTGAAGAGCTTTGTATACTAATATTGATACCCTGAACTTAGCCCAGTAGCAATCAGCAACTAAGTGCATTTGTTATATGTTGGCAGGGCCTCACTCCTGTCAGTAATTATGCTGTAGCATTCTGCACTAACTGTAGCTTTTGAATGAAGGGCAAGGGAAGCCCCACATAGAATACACTGCAGTAATCTAGACTTGAAGTAAATAAAATATACTGTACAGTATGATGCTGACTGGCATATATGATAAGCCAAGTGATATTAAGAAGGTGCTTCTTTGCACAGAACATATGCCAGTGATGACCAAACTGGATGGCTTAAAAAGAGGATTAGACAAATTCATGGAGGCTATCAATGGCTAGTAGCCCCAATGACTATGTTCCACCTCTACTGCCATAGGTATTATGCCTCTGATAACCATTTGCTGGGAATCACAGGTGGGCAGAGTACTGCTGTGCTCATGTCCTGCATGTGGGTTTCCCACAGGTATCTGGTTGGCCACTGTGAGAACAGGATGCTGGACTAAATGCAGCTGGTCTGATGCAGCCAGCCCTTCTCATGTTCTCAATATCAGATGATTAAACATACAAGATTCAAAGGCCTAAAATAATTAGAGGAAGAGGAAGTGGTGAAAAAGTACACAGGGATAGTTCTAGATTGTAACATAATACTGAAATATGTAATTAAAAAAGAAGAAGAAAAAGAAATATGTAATATTAAGGAAAAACAAAATTTTCAAATAAAGGGGAAAAAACCTTATATTGCTCACCCACTTACACCAGCTAGTCCCACTGTTTTCCATTCTATTTATTAAATTTCCCATGGCATTCATTCTTCATTTCCCACCCTTCACTCTAAGGTCCCAGGGTGGGTTACAAGATTAAAAACAATTAAAAACAACTTACAACCATAAAAATATATCCACCCCAGAGCTTAGACGCTGGGAGAATTCTGAACTGACTGGCAACCGCAGGCCAAACTTCCACAGATACATGTTTTGATAAAATACAACAAAGGTCAGAAAGCAATGGTTTCAAAAATGCAAGGGTGCTACAGCATGATAAAAGCACCCTGCAATGCACACAAACATGGCCTTTGCTAATCAGTGCCTTAAAGCACTTAGCATGATTCTCACACAACTCTCTTGAAGAATATCCCATGAATTGGATCAACCCCAGCTTCTTGCACAAATAATTATATGGACAGCTACATTGGATTAAATGTGAACGGCTGATTTTGAATCAATGTTTTAGATGTATTAATCTAAAAATAACTCTCAATGCTACCCTGCATAAATTTACACAGGAAGCAATTGAAAAGGGACTGCTAAACAATACATTAATGTAGATTTGAACAATAGCAACTGAAGCTTTTGTTTTTCTCTCAGGCTTCTTTCTTTTACTCATAGTGTTGGAGAAACCATGTTGTTAGGAGCATTTTGGGGGGTGGGATAACAAAAACAGATCTGTGACAGCTTTTTCCTAGTCCTTTGATTTGAAAAGGTGTCATCTCTCTCAGGACCTTGTGACACAAAATGCAACAGTCAGCACTTCAGTAAAGGGAGAGGAATCAAGTGAACATAAACTTAGCAGACGGAAGCTGCACGCCGGCTCCCTCGGCCAATAAAACAAGATGAGCGCTGCAACCCCAGAGTCGTCTGCAACTGGATCTAACGGTTAGGGGTCCCTTTACCTTACCACTAACAAGACAAAATGCATGTTAGCCTGTGAAGATGTTCAAATAAACATTTTCTCATTATGAAATTTTTCTGCTGGCCTTGAGGGAAGGCATTTGTTATGATAGCACATTTCTGCTTCAGTCTCACTGATACTACTTTCCAAACTCCCTTTCAAACCCCAGGCTGACATTTGACCCTACAGTTACTGACCAACAGAAAAGGAAAAGTGTTGGATACAGAAATGAATGTTATAGACAAAATATGTTCACAAACAAAACTTTGTACAGATTTTATATGAACCACAAAGCAAAGTATGACCTTTACTAAAGAACCCAGAGAGTAGGAACAGTTATTTTTACACAAGATGAATACTGAGATTTGTGAACTTAAATGGTGTCTGTGTGGTTGTGAAATTAGTGGTTTTATAATTTTAAAAAACTATAAAGGGAAAGATAGGATCACATGTTAAGAACAATACTTTATGAACATTCTGAAATTTATGAGGGGGGAAAGGGGGGGAAAATAAGTCGACACACTGTTCAAGACAGCACAGTCAACTATTCAGACCAGTGGAAGATCTGGTTTATGATTAAGATTATGCAATAACTTTGCCCCTGAAGGACCAGGTGCACAGCCTGTGAGTCATTTTGGACTCAAAACTGTCCATGGAATCACATGTTAATTCTGTGTACAGAGTGGCTGTCTACCAGCTCCATCTGGCATGACAGCTGAGACCCTACCTGCCTGCGCACTGTTTTACCAGAGTGGTACATGTGCTGGTTATCTCCCACTTGGACTACTGCAATGCGCTCTATGTGGGGCTACCAGCTGGACTGGTGACTGGGAGCAGCTGCCGGTGATTGGACTGGTGACTGGGAGCAGCTGCCGAGACCATATAACACTGGTCCTGAAAGACCTACATTGGCTCTCAGTAAGTTTCCAAGCACAATTCAAAGTGTTGGTGCTGACTTTTAAAGCTCTAAACAGCCTCGGCCCAGTATCCCTTTAGAAGTGTCTCCACCCCCATTGTTCAGCCTGGACCCTGAGATCCAGCACTGAGGGCCTTCTGACGGTTCCTACACTGCGAGAAGCGAAGCTACAGGGAAGCAGGCAGAGGGCCTTCTCGGTAGTGGTGCCCACTCTATGGAATGCCCTCCTATCAGATGTTAAGAAGATGAGTAATTATATAACATTTGGGAAACATCTGAAGGGAACATCTGTAACATCTGTATAGGGAAGCTTTTTAAGGTTTAATGTTTTACTGTGTTTTTATATATGCTGGAAGCCGCTCAGAGAGGCTGGGGCAACCCAGTCAGATGGGCCGGGAACAAATAAAAAAATATTATTATAGTTTTCTTTTTCTTTTTTAAATTGGCAGGAAGAAACTCTTAGATAAATAGGCTCCAAAATTTCTCTACAGTAATGTGCTTGCCGGAGGCCAACAATATGCTGCATACAAGAACTACACCACAGAAGAATCTTGAGCATATCAGAAGAAGCAGGTCTAAACATCAGATATCAATACTGACCACACCAAACAAACAAGTTAGTAGGTGCTTTACGCTTTTTTTACAACAATTTATTTTCATTTGACCATTTTTAAAGGATTGAAACTGGTGGTTTTTTTAAAGGTAAAAATATATTGACTTACATTAATTAATTCAATATCCCAGATTTTTTTCACAAGGTCCATCGACGTATAGCCATTTATCAGAAAGGGTTTGATGTAATCACCCAGTTCCAGGGAATCTAGCCACTCTGCTACAGAGGTGGGGCTGTAGCCATCGTTGCCTATTTGTTTCATCTGAAACATAAAAACGCCCCACAAAAAAGTTCAGTTTTTGTTATTATGTATGGATGTGTGTGAGTAGGAGAAGAAATAAGGGATATCAAAGGACCTTTCCACAGACTAATTTCTGCATAATAAAAACACTATAGTTCTCTGGATGAAATTCTTAGGTCAGACCATTTGAGCTTTTAAGCTTCTTTATTGACATCTGGCAGTGCAGAGTGTAGATTCACAGTACTGTACTTTTATGAATGGTTTCTTGTTTTAACGATTTCCACAGAATTGGAGAACGTCTGGGGTAAAACAGTGCAATAAAAGTGTGGATGACCAATGTATCCTTGAGCTGTCTGCCAATTTCTCTCTCACACACAACCAAAGGGGATAGCCTAGAACAGGATCTCCCCCCTTTTATGAGTTCTGTGAGAAGAAATGACACATTCTCAGAGTCAAGAGGACTTAAGCTGCCAGTTTTAGTCTCCAGGGCCCTTATTTATAAAGAGTAACACATGCAGAAAACCATAAAGACAAGGATTCTGGCCATTCAGATTAATCTTAATCATCTTTAAGAAAAGCAATTAATTGAGGAAAACTTATTTTAAGTTGGAAATAAATTTTTAAAAGAGACATTATCTTATGGTTTCCATAAACTATTCTCCTGGGCTGTTGGTATAAATCAACTGGTTGAGAAAACTGGGGTATTTTCTAGAAACTCACTGAAATTGCCCTATTGATAAGCTTCAGACTGTTGGAAAATATGCTTCTCACAGTCTGAACTGTGTTTTAATATAAATATGATAAGAGAGCCTGTTCAGGCCCTCCCCACAGCTGCCATCTGCATCACTTCAAATACAGGTAGAAAGGGTACACAGTGAAACGGATGGAAACAGGGAAACAGCTTTTTAGTTTTTTTTAGTGTCAGGACTCAGAAATTTTCTAAAGTAAGTATCAGGAATAATGGGGCTGGGCAAGTGGAATACACAAAAAGATTAGGATCAGGAAGAGTATTTAAACTGGCATAATTCAATGATTTTCAATGATGTAACGGGGAGAAAAGAGAAAAGTGTATTATAGGAAATGTGTGATGTTATTTTTTGAAGATGAAGATTCAGAGAACTACAAGAGTTACACTTTGATGCATGCTATGAATAAATATTTTGCAGAGATATATTTTTGCAGATATTGCTTTTAAAAGAAGGTGGTTTCTTCCTTCCTCTTTGAAAATGGTTTTAATAATTTCCTCAGCTTAGTCAGTCATAATGTTACAGGAAAAAGGTAAAACTGTAAATTGTATGAAAATGGTATAAACAAATGAGTACATGTGGATGGAACACGAGAAGATAGATATATACATTATTTTTTAAAAGAACAAGACAAATAACTGAGTTAATTTATTTCAATCCAAAAATGAACATATAATGTCCCGTCAAATACACTTATTAATGTTCTTAGCTCGTATACAGGATAACAGTAATCAATTCCATATCACATATTTTGGCTTTCCTTTTCAGATCACAGAAAAGAATTTTTAAATGTCTAAGGGTAAATGATAATCCATAATGTCTGTAATGAGGTGAATTATGGTTTCAAATACTGTATATAAGCATATTGTTGTGGGGGTGGGGAAGGGCATAACTCAGTAGCAGCTCATGTGCTTCTCATGTGTACAGTCAGCTTCAATCCCTTGCATCTCCAGATAGGCTTCCCTCTCCTTTGAGATAAAGCAGCTTCCTATTATGATGTTATCACCAAACGGGGACAAAATAAGCTGTCTAGTGTTGGACTCCCTCCCCGCTTGGACTGACGTTTTCTGCCCAGCTACCCACCCACTAAAAAGGAAGACCTCGGATAATTTCAGAGTTAATTAAATGCAGCTATGGAAAGCTCACCTATATAACAAGAACATATTAGGAGCTCTTTATTAAAATCTGTTTCAATATTATATATATAGCAGCTGTTGTTTTTTCATGTATCAAAAACCTGTCAGTGTATATAAAAACAGAACTCTTGTTACTTGAAAAGGATTCAGAAGCTATTAGATGCGAAAGGTTTTTTATTTCCATCACAGCATTTTCACTGCTTTTGGATGTTACAGAAAAAAGTGCTGAAAGGAAAGCATTCTGAAACATTTTCTCGGTGTCTAAAAACTGTATAAAAGGTTTGCCAATTTCTCTCAACGGTAGTCTTTAAAACCCTAATAGATGACAGTGATACTTTTGAGAGTGGACACTAGGGCTAACCCAAGATTCCACAATTTTGTGCTCCAATTCACAGCTGCAAAGTTGAATGGATTTCTGGGAGGTTTGGGGGAATGGAGTCAGTGGGGGTGAAACTCACGACTGCTGCTCCTGACAGTCATCACATTATTCTCCCAAAAATCCCAGAATAACTCCACATGACACAGGGTCACTCAGATGAGAGCTTCCGAGGAAAATAAAATGATAGCTGCCATTCATGGCTAACACCCCTCTAGAAGTCCTGTAAGAGCAAGGTCATTATGTGACCTTTTCCTGGCAGCTTTGTGGGTGGGGGAGGAGGCAATGGTAGTTGCCAGTTGTTGGCCAAAATTCTGGCAGTGGTGGTACATTCCCACCCCCCTCTCTATGCCCACAAAACTGATGGAAGTAGACGACCTTTTCATTCCCTATGTCCTCCAAATTTGAGCTGAAAGTCCTCTTTTGAGGATTTCCTCTTATGAAAGTTTTCTTATGAAGTTTATTCTTAGTCAAAGAATGAGCTTCTTTGAATCAAGCTTTACAATGTTTAACAACATTTCAGTAACACTTATTAACCAAAAAGGAATGCCTAAACCAGAGGCGCCAGCTTTTAAAGGTGATTGGGGAGGACAATGTTGCGCACATGACATCCCAACGCCATGCGTGTGACATCAGGAGGACCAGGGGAGGAGCCAATGTGGTGGCCACACAGCTCAATGACTGGCAGCTCATACTCCGCCTCCTCTTGGCAGCGCCACTCGCAGGAGGCTGCTTTGACCCTCCTTCCCTTCCATGGCTGGAGGAGCAAGAGGAGCAGCTGGTCACTGGGGGCACGGCACACTCAGTTCTGCTCTTCTGTTCTGTGGTTTTGAGGCATAGGGCCCCCCCAGTCCATACCACAAAAATATAGAGGGGGGCCAAAAGGGTTCAGCCCCTAGGAGCTGGCACCCGTGGCCTAAACCCAACCAAACATTTTAAAAAATGTACAAAGAAAGCCATATTTTTTTAAGACAAATTGAACAAACCTTTTGGGGGGGGCTGTAGTAATTAATGTCAAATACACTAAAATATAGGCACAACATCACTTTTACATACATACATTTATTTCTCATTATAGTATGATTAATAAATAATTCAAAAAAAGTTGTTGTGTGCCTTTGTGCCTTTGTAATCTCCATGACAGATGCAGTTTTCCCCATTTCCAGCTGCATACAGCTGCATCTGTTAAACTGCAGTCTGTCATGTACTCTTGTAACCAATCCAGACACAAGAGAAAACAAAGGAGGAAGGCAACCCCACAGAGGCACAATTGGCTTCCCATATTCTACTGCTGTAGGCCTTGCTTGAGGTCTGCATGGCACTGGAGATGTATTCTGAATGGTTGCCTGGTTGCCTGTGGAGACACAAGAGAAACATGGGGATGGTAATGAAGAATGAGTAACACAGCGTACTCAACAGAGTAGGTGCTCATTAGATTATCTTTAGCTTTTTTTCTGTACTACGGACACATAAAGTAGCTGGACTTTAAAAGTTCAATAAATTAATATAAACAATCTGAAGTGCATGAAATAAACTTTAAAGTTTCCCAACCCAAAAGTAGATCTATAAAAGCATAGGAGGTAAGTCTGGACAATTTGGGACCAGGTTATTGGAAGTAATGCCTACACCAATATGAACCTGTCTAGGCCCTAAGTCTAGGACTAGCTCCACACTAAGACCTACAGGGATCATGGACAGGGCATTTTCAATGGTAGCCCCACACTTGTGGACTTCCTCTTCCAACAGATCTTCTTGCCCCTCCCCCTTGTAGCTTTAATGCAGACCTTAAAGACATTTTTTTAAAAAAACTCCTCATCTACGCCTTTGATATTACTGGCTCCTTATATATAATTTTATATGATGCTGGTTTTGTTACAATTTTTCTTTTCCATGCTATACTGCTTGAGACTTTTAAAAATATAAGTCTCCTTGTGAGGGCTTGCCCTAAAAGAAAAGAATTGAAAACAAAGCAACTGGAAACATCAGCAGAGAAAACCAAATCCAAAACAACATAATAAAAGCCAAGCACAGCATGATAACAGAAACTGACAAACCAAAAGCATAAGGAGTTGAGTTTGTTTTGTTTTTTGAATGAGGGGAGAGATCTTCAAAATGTTTCTGAATGCTAAAGGAGAAAAGTACCAATGGGACTTCACAATGATGGTATTCCACAATTTTGGTGCCACCACAAAAAGGCTCTGCCCATCTGATCTCATATAAAGGTGGGATCGTGAACAGAACTCAGATGCCAATCTGATCTAGTTTATGGGAGAAGATAGGCACTGAGGTGGCTTGGCCACAAACCATTTAGGGCTTTAAAGGCTGAAATCAACAATATAAACTGAGCCTGGAAACAATCCCTGTTATGAAAGACCAGAGAAATATGCTCAGATGTTTGAGTAATTGGCTGGCCACTGCATCTTGAACCAGCTGAAATTTACACATTATCTTTAAGAGACAGACTCACAGAGAGCATTGCTGTAGTCTATTCTGACAGCAACTCAGCATTTGTCTGCCTTGGGAGACACTGGAGGAGTGTGCCGGGGGGGGGGGGAGTCAAACTGTTGGAAGGGTAACTAAACCTTGGAAAACAGGTCATGCAAGGAAAAATGACTAATGGGCATTTGCCAGTAGTTGCAATTAAGGTACTGGGGTACCTAAAGTTCACCCCCGTAGGTATCTCTGCTCTTTATTGCGTTCATCAGTCTGTCTGTGGTAGATATTTGCCTGCATTTGGGGGTTTATAGCCATCAAAACTCTCCT